TTTCACGTTGTTTTTCACTTACGATATGTAATTATATTTTTTTACTTATAATGCCTCGTATACGATCGATTTTTCGGCCTATTATTAAATTATATCTTTCAAGATAATTTTCGTTTATAGATTAAGAGACGACGTCCTAATGTTCAGAAAGCATTCTCCATTCATCTCGTCAGGATGTAACGGCGAGCGCTGGCCGTCTAATAATAGAACGCCGGCGATTCCGTAGAAGTATCGTGCACGCGTAGCTGGCCCCTAATATATGCACGCGTGTAGGTGCGTGTATTCTTCCAAAAAATAAACGCAACTCAGCGCGGGGGATAAAGGGTAGAGGGGAAAGGAAGGGAGATCGTAAGAATGTGTAGCAACGACTTTCACGACACTTGGTTGAGCAATATATATATATTCGGGAGAAGATCTTTTATTTCGAGAGAGACGTTACGCCGCTCGTTAATATTCTACGCAATGCGTGCATGTATCTCAGTTCCACTTTCTCATCGAAACGTCTCAAATAAATCTTCCGAAATACCGAATTTTTTCGACAATTTCGAGAAAGATTCCAGCGATTTATATTAGCTATCGGAAGTCACTAGATCAAATTAATTTTAGTACTCGCAGATGGATTTAAAATTATATATAAAAATATCGATTATATACTACTTAGATTTTCTAATTTTATATAGTAAAAACCAATTCATGTAAATATCGATCCATAAAAAAATTAATTCTAACAGCTAGTATACGAACAATAAATTAGTATGTCGAAATTTTTATGTATAAAAAGTATTATACAATAGTATATATAAGTATATATTTAAGCATACACTGATATTACATGGATGCTTTTATTGCTTGCATTGTACATATTTGATGACACAAGTCGACTCAATTGTGCTTTGTTATTTATTGAATATAAAGAAAAGCAGAATAACATTTATGTTGATTATGCCACTAATTCCAGAGAGAGTTGATAAACAACATATTTTAAATATGTATTAAATGTTTAATCAATATTTTTAACATGTTTTAAACATATTTTTTTATAATACTGTTTAAAGCATGTTTTAAGTATTAAAATATAAAAAGAAACACACCACGTTTTATTCTTAAGAAAACATTAATTTTTGCTACTTTGCTGTCCGTTTCTATCAACATAGTTTAATTTTAATCTTGAATCTTGAATCATTAATATATA